TTACGGTCTAATTTTTCACGCTTGCGACTTTGACAAAATAACGTTGTCAGAAAGAATAATAAAAAATAATACACGGTAAGAACAATTTTGCTGAATCCGGATCTGAAAATAATTTTTATTCAACAATTAAAATAATTTTGTGCAAAAGTCAAAGTGATTGCTAAAATATCAAAATATTTTATAGCGATTCTTATCAGCTTTAACATTCCAACAAATTATTTTGATGATTCAATAAAAAATTATTTTCAAATCTGTTTTTAGCAAAATTTTTAGACCTAATCGTTCTTTCCGTGTAATAATATGCATCTCCCTTCGTCGTTAAAGCAAGAATAACTTTAGGAAACATATATATATATATATATATATATACCAAATTTAAATTTAAGAGAGCGCGATTCAGCGGCAATAAAAATTGTTTATTTTGTCGATGGCAACTATCAGTTTTGGCGTCAAATGGAAACTCGAGTACACATTTAAATACCTTCAGTTTTATTGGGAGTCTCAGAAGCAGATGGAGAATGCAATACGTTTCAGTTAATTTGTTGTAACATATTAATTATTACTTGCGGTGCGTTTGTATGAGACTGAATATTGTAACAATAAAATATGTAAATAATAATAAATATAAGATGTAATAATAGCTTAGTCGTGAGATATTCACATCAACATCCGTGTCGGCTTGCATTAGACTTTACTTCGTTATGTATTTCTGATCTATTCTTAGAAGCCTAATTCCTTTTAATTTAAATTTATTTCGATCATCACGCTGCCTGAAAAATGTGTCAACGCATTGTTTATATAATAGTTCTTGTAAGGAATAACATCACATGCCTCGGTCAAAAGTCGAATGGTAGAACGCCCACCAGGCAAATAGGAAGATTCAGGTTCGAGTCCTGGGTGAGGTGATATTTTTCGCAAACAAATTTTTCAACAAAATTCTTTACAGTGTGTATGCGCACTAGACGCAACAAGTGACTGATAAATGAACGCTATATCGAAAGATAACAAGGCAATAATTATTCTGAAACATTGATAAGGATGCCTTATTTCGTAACGTAAAAATGCTGCAATTATTATAAATTGTGTAATGAGAGCTTTTAAGAACCGTACTCTCTAAAAGTGAATCAGTGAAATCATCACTAATTATCAGTGTATATTATTTTCCAGTGGCATACTTATAACTGTGATAAATAGTGACTATTTCAATGTCGCTTCAGTGATATTCACAGTTTAAATCAATGTATTATCATTGAAGCGACATTGAAATAATCACTGTTTATCATAGTTTTAAGTATATCACCGGAAAAGGATATAACACTGACAATCAGTGATGATTCCACTGATTCACTTTTAGAGAGAATATATAGAGCCAAGTCACAAAGCATATACTACGTAATGTTCTGCAAGTCATCATTATCGCACCTTCGTTTGTAAAATACATGGGTATTGGCACTAATCCTGAGCGAATATTTGCTGTACCAAAAATGGGGCAATTTTTGTTTCTCTTAATTTTATCAATAGCAACTGTCAGCTTTGGCGTCGAACATAAACTCGAGTACGCATTTAATCACATTGATTTTGAGTGGCAGTCTCAGAAGCAGATGGAGGACGCAATACGTTCTGGCGATTATAACATCAGCAGATGCTTTTTGTACGATGTAGATCGAGCAAATGGTAAGCTAACGGTAAATTATTCCAGTTATACATACATACAACATTCGTACATACACACAGACCCATGTACATAGGGTGCGTTCCACTTAACGCTCACAACGACCGCAATATTTGTCGTTCCACTTGCTTATGAATAGAAAAGCACACGGAAAAAACGATTTTATTGAAAGGTCTAAAAATTTTGCTAAAAACAGATCTGAAAATAATTTTTTGTTGAATTATCAAAAAAATTTGTTAGATTGTCAAAACTGATAAGCATTGCTATAAAACATTTTGATATTCTAGCAATCACTTTGACTTTCGCACAAAATTATTTTGATTATTAAACAAAAATTATTTTCAAATCTGGATTCAGCAAAATTGTTCTTTCCGTGCAGACGACATAACGCGCCGACCTACCTACTAATCATGAGCGTCGTGAACTCGACGTGGTCGCGATTAATGACGTCAGATATGACATTTTAAACGCGACCACAACAATTGCGATCGTTATGTGGAACAGGATTGTAGGCGTCGCAAGCGATGCGGGCCTTAAATAAAATGCATCCATAGCATGTCGCCGAACAGCGGATGCAGATTTCTTTTTGACTGACCCATGTATATATATTTGGAAAAATTTTTATATACAAATACTTCCATTATACA